AAGCAGATGGGGAATTATATTTTTGTTAGTGAAAATGAATTGAGAGATGAAAATAATGAATGAACCCACTGCAAAGTTTAGGATTATGAAAATTGATTCATCATAACAGGCAGGTGATCTGGTTTATGTTTTTGCTAAGGTGGCAACTGGCTCAAGGATAGAAAATTCATGTAAACAAATATATTTTCAGTGACAAAAACAAATTGGGAAATTATTTTTATCTATTGCTCAGAAGGTTAAAATGAGAAGGTGATCTAGTTTATGTTTTTGCTGGACAGGTGAGTCCAGGAAAGAAGTGAGAGAATTGAAATTAATGAGGAGAATAAACCATGTCCTTTCTCCTAAGCACTTTAAAAATTAGATTTGTCAAAAAGACAGTTATGCCAGTCCTGAGAAGTTGTCAGAGTTATAATACTGAGAAGGAAGAGGCAGAATTTAGCCCTGCCTGTGTGAAGGAGTGTTGTGAGATTGAAGCAGGTTGGAGTTAAGGGAACTGCAATCCCTGTGACTTCTCCCAAAGAAAGTGAATAATTCTCCAAATTTGGAAATTGATTAAGAAAGCTTAAATAGGGAACAAAGATAAGCTTCATTGGAATTAATAAAAATTGGAGAATCACTGAATCCCCAGAACCCTTCAGCTCCACATCAGTTTTGGGCTGAAGTGCATATAAACAGATGACTTGGGGGAGCTTGGACACTTTGAGCTGAGATTCCACATTGAGTTACTCTGAAATCAACAAATGCTGCCAACCAGATTCTAAGACTTTGAACCCAGCCATCCAGAAGTCTAGACCAGGCTCAGTATCACTATAGAGACTATATTGGGAAGGGTTAATTGTGTTGTACCAAGAGCTATATAAACAAACTGATAATTAATTCCACAACTCTCTCATGTTATTGTTCATTAAGAAGATATTTTGTTATTTAATATAACACCTGCAAAGCTTGAACCATTACTGTGAGACTACAACCTTTGATTTCCCATTGCTCTGAGATCAAGGATACAGTGTGGGCAGTGTTGGAGTGGATCTTAGTGGCTAGTTACCAACAATCAGCTTGAACCAGCATCAGCAGTGATCAGTGCTGTGGTTAAAATATTGATCTAAGACCCTGAGGATTGGACCACTAAATGTAGTTGTACCACTAGGTGTAGGAGACAGTATAAGTTGTTATATTCATTGAAATGAAAATTATAATATATTTGTTGCATAAATATACAATGTAAATTGTAGGTGAAGCACACCAATACAATAATAGAGAAAAAGTTTTATTCATCAAAAATAGCCAAAATATATTTCCATGAATTGAAAGTAAAAGGAAAAGTGAGCTCATTGTGTAGCCATTAATGTTCGCTTTGATTAACCACCAGTTGCTAAATTCTTCCAATTTGTGCAACTCATAATCATTTTACTGTAATCACTGCAAGCATGTTTTCTACAAGTGCTGCACTGTTTACACCTTTCAATCAAAACAAGTGCATTTTGCGTTGGCATTTTTGTAATGATTGTGATATTGTAGAGGTTGTTGCAGCTGAAGATGATGGCAATCATGAAAATTTACCTTTGTTAGACAGGTGGGGGTGACAGGACACCCTGAAGAAGACAAAGCAATGTCTGTCTCCCACAACAGCTGAACTACAACTGTGTTACACTGCATGCTACACACTCTCACTAAATCAGGAGAGTAGTGGGAAGGAGCAAAAGAAACAAGTTGTCAAATAGGAATTATGAATACTTAAAAAAATAATAATAAAAAGTAACAAAACACCTCATGTGACTAACACAGGGTTAAAACACTTCCCAGATATTTAAATTATGGTACTTGCTTGATTTTGGTATCTCCAATTTATAATTTGTATGTTGAGGACAGGCATTACTTTCTACTAGCTCTTAGACATTTAAAGGAGACGTGACATAAATCAGAGAATCAGCCTATTTTTTTTATTTCTTTTCATCATGTCAAGAAGGTGATAAAGACATTTTGGTTGGAGAACTGAAGGAAAAAGCAAATAAAGAAAAAATTGACTCACTGCCAACATAAAGACATTTCATATGCATTGAATGTAAACAAATCCAAAGAAAAAAAACAGAGATGGCTACTCATAAGACAAATATTTAAGAACATTACATTTGAGCAAATACAAGATGGTAACATGCATGCAAATTTCTGACCTTTGAAAAGAATATAAAAATTGCATTAGTGACGGGAGAAGGGTGAATTGTTTTATATCCTACAGATGTCACATAGTTGAGTTTAGGTTTTCTGTTGTGGACAAATGGTAAGAGCATAAGAGATAGGGAACAAGAGAGGGAAGAAGAGAAAAGAAGAAGAAATGGAAAGAAGATGAGAAGAAGAAGAGGAAACAAGAAGGAAACAAGAAGAGGAGGAAAGATGAAGGGAACAAGAAGAGGAAAGAAGGAAACAAGAATAAGAGAACAAGAAGAGAAAAGAAGGGAACGAGAAAAGGAAAAAAGAAGGAACAAAAAGAGGAAAGAAGGGTACAAGAAGAAGAGAGCAAGAAGAAGAAAGAATAGAACAAAAAGAGGAAAGAAGAAGGGAACAAAATGAGGAAAGAAGGGTACAAGAAGAGAACAAGAAGAGGAAAGAATGAAACAAGAAGAGGGAGGAAGTAAACAAGAAGAGGAAAGAAGAAGAGAACAAGAAGAGAAAAGAAGGGATAAAGAAGAAGAAAGAAGAAGGGAACAAAATGAGGAAAGAAGGGTACAAGAAGAAGAGAACAAGAAGAAGATAGAATAGAACAAGAAGAATAGAACAAGAAGAGGAAAGAAGGGAACAAGAAGAAGAGAACAAGAAGAGGAAAGAATAGAACAAGAAGAAGAGAACAAGAAGAGGAAAGAAGGGAACAAGAAGTAGAAAGAATGGGACAGGAAGAGAACAAGAAGAAGAGGAAAGAAGAAAGGAACAAGAAAAGAATTTCTTTTTAATCATTTCTCCCCAAGCAAAGTAATAAGGCCACTTTTACAATTATTGTTGACTTGGAAGCAAGAAATCAGAAGAGATTTTCACTAGTGAGAAGTGAAATAGAAGAAACTATTAGCATAGAACTTATGGTTACATCAAGTAATTTCAACTGTAAAATGATGAGACCTTGCTACCAATCTATTTTGAGTTGAATTTTGAACAGAACCTTGCGTTTATTATGTGGGGGTAAATAAAAGGTTCAAATCAAAATTCATGTCACCCAGATTAATAATCACCTGAAGAAAGCCAGTGGCTACAATGGTTGAAACATGATAAGAACAACAAAGACAAGGACAATAGTTCAAGTGTAAATAATAACTCCTCATCCCAGAAATTAAGACAGAAATTAAAAATGCCTGCTCTTTTATATATGTTATATACCATTAACAAGAAAAAAACAAGAAAAAATGTGGAAGTGATAAAACAGCAAGTGGAGATCGGACGTACTTGAGATAAGAGTTTTTTTTATCCTTGATGATTTGCAAAGTTCGACTGTTTGCTTGTTCTGGGTTATCGTATATCATTTGTGGGAGCCTGAAAGTTAGTTTGGGGTAGTAATCAAGATAGACACATGGAGAAATTCAACATTCATATTGTATCCATAATGAAAAAATAAATAAAAATTAATTATAGTGTAAAAAATAATTATAATAAAATAATTATAACAATTATAATTATTAATTCACTCATTCTAAATCAATGAGAATCGACTCCACTTTTCTCTTCTACACCCGCATGCATGTGACATTCTCACTATTAGACAAGCAGTTTGCATAGACAGGTCATTAATATGGGTCAACAAAAATTTCACCTCCCTTTCCTTTTTCAGGCTATATTAGTAACAGCTTTTAGCACACAACAAAAATTTGAGGTATTAAAACCCCAGACACTTGTATTTTCCAACTAAATTATCTGGACACTCATTACACACATCTATAAAAAAAATAACATGCAAAAAAGACTGTATACACTGTGCTTATTCTTTATCTTATTTATCTGTCGGATTCCAATCCATATTTAATCTACATTTGACTCCCAAAACACAATTTTACTCATTATTACTGTCTCTTGTTACTCCAACACCACATAACAACCAGATAATAAATAATACTCATTTTGTTTTCCATGTCTTGCTGTTTTGCATTTTTACAAGTATTTTTGTATATATAAATATTAGGGGATTTATAATTATTTACTCAGCATTATAACTCCCCTACAATATGTAATCAAGTGAGATAGACATGTGGGAGAAATATTCCATGAATTATCCCACATTGTAGCAGATGAGAATTAGTCTCTGTTGCTGGTTTCATTCCTGGCTGAAGGTATTGCTGTTGATGGAAACAACTTGGTGTTGCTGCTGATGGCTGGATTAAGCTTGCTTGGGTAGGGGTTCGTCACTAATGCCAGCCTGGTTAAATCTGTCTTTGCAGGTGGAAACAACATTGGCAACATTTATAGTGAAGCAACAGCAGCTGCAAAAACTGCGTGGGCCTTTTTCTGATTAGTTAGAAAAGATTTTCATGACCTTGGTATGTTTGGTCAGTATTCTGCGAGTGAGTGTGTGGATCTGGATGTAATTAAGGTCTGTTTTTGTCGTATGAGCTGTGGATGTTGAAGTGAGCACTTTCGTTTGAGTCAAAGAATTGGAGTTCTAACACACACACACACACACACACACACACACACACATGTATACGTACATGTAAAATAGAATACATTTTTACATGAAAATTCTCTTATAATGAAATAGTCTTCTGTCACTCTTTGCATATAAAACTGGTTTTGTATATTTGGAAGTCATAATGAAATCATCCATTCGGTAAATCCTACTTTTATGCAGGCTCAAAAAAAAAAAAAAAAAAAAAATGATTGCAATTTATTTTTGTCTTACAGTCAGCTGATATCAATCAGATGGAATTTCAATTAATACAAGATTATCAAGTTGAATGCTTTAAGCATTTGTGGAATGTGAGTCACCTCATATCTTTGCAATTGATTTAAAGAAAAATGAGATCATGCTTTCTCCCTCTTTCTTGCCTGTCTATTTATCTATAAGTAAAGTTAGATGAGAATCTGTTAGCATGGTAAATATATGAAACAATTTTGAAAGACCAAAATATATTTCATTAATTTCTTTAATCCTTTAAAATATTTAATAAAATAATAAAAAAACTTTGGTCTTTCACTTTAATAATAACATAAATATTTTGCCGATAAAAGTTTGTTTTTATCAAGTTTGGTTCATTTTTTACATCATGCTATGCTCTTTTTACAGCGAATTATTGAAGGTACCTAAAATGAACAAATTATATTTCCAAGGGAGGTAACTCTAACGTTTCTATATACGGCAAGGCCGCAAGGTAAATAAAGTTGATGAAATAATTTAGGATTATTACATAAGTGAACTTCATTTTAACTGATTTATTTCCCTTCTCTCCTCATAAGTACATTCCAGAATGATCTAAGTTGTAAAAAATTCTAAGTTAATAATTTCTACAGATTTCTAAAGTGTCGTATAATTTCGATTTTTGTAAGTAACCGGTGAAAGTTGCTCTTTCATGAGATGGATGCCGCAACTCATGTGGCGAGGGACACAAATCAAGAAAGTAAAGGTTCATGGTCAGAATCTAGTAAGGATGGGAGGCTTGACGCTAATGCAACAACTTCAACATTGTTATCTCAAGGGTCACAACAAAACAACACCACTAAAAACGATAATGTTGGAATTAGGCAAGAAGAGAAACCATGCAGAGCTTGTACAGACTTTCGTTCTTGGATAAAGGCCCAAAAGTCTGACCCTAGATTAACGAAGGTAAAAAAAAAAAAAAGAAATTGGAGTTATATTTTATTTCTTAACTTTGTTTTACATTAGATTTTTGTCTTTGGTTTCTTAATTTTTGTCACATTAGAGACATTCGTTAATTTATTTCAAAATTATTATTTTTTTTTATGAAAAGGTCATAGAGTTGTGTAGCAAGTGTTACAAAATGCGATATCAATTTCAGCAAAGTTGAATGAATTATAAAAAACAAAAAAGTTTTAAAATTCTTAATTAGTAGCTATCACTCAGCTGAAAATGCATGGAAATGTTAGAATGAAGAAAAATAAGATATTTTTCTTTTCGTGAAAAATCAAAAGAAAAAGACATTTTTAAAAAGTTTCGTAAAATTTAGCAATTTTAGAATATTTCAAGTCTTGGCAAAAATAATTACTTTTTTTTTAGCATGATGCTTTTTTTTTTTATTCAAGTAAATGTCGTGTAAAAAATCTATTGTATTTTTTGGCGAATAATTGTCACATTATTAACTGATTAACTGCAATTTCATTTATTTTAAAAATTTACCATTTTTATGATTGATTTATTTTTAAATATTTAATTTCTTTACAAGACTGACAAATATCTAGCTTTATTGAAATACACATCTTTTTTGTAGATATATACAGTTGGTAAGTTATAGTTTTTTAAAGAAAACATTTTTGTTTAGCCTAGCAGACGCTATTTTATATTAAAATTCTTCAATTCAGTTTTACTGTAAAACTGAATTGAAGAATTTTAATATAAAATTTAATAGCGTCTGCTAGGTTCAAGTTTCCAGACGAGTGGATGCAATCTCTGCGAAATTTAGAGTAGGGACAGCTAAATGCACATTTAATTTTAATATGTTAAGAAGATTCTTCAGTAGAAAGCAAAAAAAAAAAAAAGTTCTCAGACCAAATAGTCCAACAAATTTATCTTTTTTTTTCTAATATATTTTCGTGTGGAAAAAAGGTAAACATTTAAAAAGGAAAGGTAAAAATGAATTCATTAAACGAAGAAACGCGAATGAAATATGAAGAATTAAAAAAAATAATGGCAGCATAAGTTTCTCTGGTATGCGAGGCTGTGTATTCTTCACATGTTGCCTTGGTGTTACACACATTTCATCAGGACCGCGATATTTGACTTTACCAATGGTAAAATTTTTTTTTTTTTTTTTGCAAAATGTAAGTTCATATTGAGAAAAAAAAAATTGATAAGTTTTTTTTTATTAGAAGAAAGATATGACTTTGTTGAAATAAATACCTCTTCCTTCATATTTCAAGAGATTTCATTTTTGCAAATGAAGATGAATTGGGTTGTTGATCACTAATTGTTGTTGCCAATCTTTCAAATTAGAAGGGCCTATTGGCAAAATCAGCATTCAATGTTATTTTTTTTTTTAACCTAGGCCTGAACACTGACTCTAGTAATATGCAACTTTGGCTTTTTGCTGTCAGTGGTCAAAATTAAGATAGAAAGATTTTTGTTGCCAATGTTCAAGTTGGAAGCACCTATTAGCAAAATTAGTATTCAGTGTTGTTTTTTTTTTTTCCATTAATATACAACTATTTAATCAATAAAACCAAGTTGTTCCTCTGTTCATCTATTTAAATGTCATGTATTGAAAATAATTTTCTCTTTTCTTTTTTCCTTTCAACATAAAAGAGATAGATAATAATAATGGTTTATAATAATTTTTATGCAGTTGTTCCCTGAGACATGAAAACTATTTCAAACGTTTCCACTAGGGTAAAAAGGTTGAGAAACACTGCAATAGACACTAGAATGAAAGACAATAGCAAGAAGATGTTACTGAGGAGTGTTGTGAAAACAAAGAATGAGTAACTAGGAAGGCAGAACTTGTCGCTGTTGTTGTTTTTGCTGAAGAGGCCATTTTCTTCTACGCCTCACCCAAAATGAATTCAAGGAAAAAGAATACATCATATAAATGTATAATTTATTTACATATATACAAAGCCAGCATACTACTTGTTGCTGTTGTAAAAGGTGACAGTGGGGAAGGAAGAAAGACAAAGAATGTTGGTCATGCTGCTGGCTGATGTTTTGTGAAGACAGTGGCAGCAAAGGATGAAAGTTCATATTGTGGGTTCATTCATTATTTTCATCTCTCAATTCATTTTCACTAACAAAAATATAATTCCCCATCTACTTCCTTTTTTGCCAATGGCATATGTTTTTCTAATTTCTCAAAGAGATAAAGCCATTTCCCAATTTGCTTTACCCACATGCCAGATTTTCAATAGATAAAAAAAAGTAAGCTCTCAGTGCATTGTTCCAAATCATAGGGGTGAGGCAACTTAGATGGCCCTTTTTTCACTGCCACATTGCCAGGGAAAATGTCTTTCATTCTCTCTAGTATCTTCCAGTTTATATTTCATTTTGGGCTGAACTCTTTTTCTGCTTAGAATTAATGTTTAACCACCTCACAGCCTTAGTGCCACATGAATAATTATACGTTTAGTTCAAGTTTTGTTTTAATGTATATTGTAATAGAGATTGCATGTTATGTTATTCTTTTTTTTAGCAGTTTGACAATATTTCACATAATTTTAACACTATGAGCATTTTTGTATTGGAGTGTATAAACCCCCGAAGGGTCTATCCTGTTAAACTTCTGCTGAATTTACCTTTTCCATTCTGGTCAACTTTACTCCAAGATGGCTTCTCTCTTCTCTTTGGGTGGCCTATGTACTGACGACAAATATTCATACACATGCAATTTTTAATTTATTGTATTTCCAACTAATGAATAAACATACTTTTTGATATAATTAACTGTACACAGATGCATAATAACTTTCATAAAGTTTTTGAAAATTCACAAGCTTTTTAAGAAAGACAAACAGATTTATAGAAAATCTAAAATGAATAAGCCATAATTTAAAACTCTATAAAAATGTCCACAGAGTTGAATCCCACTCATTCCCTACGTATTCCATTGGTAAGAAGGATGTTCCACTCATGCAGCTTATTTACAAGAACCATTACTTTGTGGAAAAGACTCCTGCATGGATACTTCCCCAAATGCTACAATCTTAATCTCTTCAATCCAAAGGTCAGTTGGTACATATCCTCTATATCCATATATTCTTCACTTCATATCTCACACTTCTTTCAGTATCCCTCTACCTTGAGTTGCTCTTGAGCCTTGTTTTAATAGGACATTAGTAAAAAAAAAATTGAAATATATGAATTACTCTATCCCGGTGCAAATATATTGAACTTCCATAGCTTCTGATTGGATCAAGTTGTCAAGGTTAACAATGGGGGTAACAATTAATAGGAATAGATAGGTTCATCTATCATCCAGTTCATACTCCTCCCCTGTCTTTTGAACAGAAGCAGAAGTTTATCTTTTGTTTCTTGTTTAGGATTGGGTTTCCGGTTCCTTCTAAAGTCTGCTTCAACTCTATATTTGTAATGTCTCTGCAGAAACTCCGAAATTTTATTCCTCGTTAGGAGTAGATACGTTCACTTATCATCTAGTTCACACTCCTATGCAGTCTTTTGAAAAGGAGATGTTTATTCCTTGTTTGCTGCTTAGGATTCGGCATCTGGCTCCTTCTAAAGTCTTCTCATTCTCTTTTACTCCCAATACTTTTACTTTTTGTCTTAGTAGCATTATCACCTTGCTTAGGGTGAAACGCCAAGTTTTTGGTGTTACTGACTTGATAGGTAAGATAACTATTTGTGTGGTTTTTCCCAAAACTACCCACTTGCCTATTCTGTTAGCAATTGCAGCATGTCGGTGATGGGACATTTTGTCACAATACCGAGCAGTGGAAAATTGCATAGATTAGTACAAGGTAAATATAAGCAGCTATAAACGTACATTGTTTCTATTTTCTTTGTTGTTAACCATTATGTCACTCTGCATGTCTATGAACTGAATAAATATAAAAAATAAAATCTGCCAAGGAAAATTATCTTCCCTTCATGCATATATTCTTTTTTTTTTCCTTCTTTTCATTTTGGAAGGTGGTACCTGAAAAACGTGCAGATTGTCCCCTGGCACGCAATGAGCTTGGTCGCAACACATGGTCTTTCCTTCACACAATGGCTGCTTATTATCCAGATGAACCCACCACGCAGCAGCAGAAAGACATGAACATTTTTATCAATCTCTTCTCAAAGTTTTACCCCTGTGATGACTGTGCTGAGCATTTAAGGGAAGAGTAAGTCATCAGCAAATTTCAAGTTCTGCTTTCTTATTTTATAATCATTGTTTGCACATTCAACATTTTGGTGCTTATAAAGTTGTTTATACATTCCTATCAAATTTTTTTTTCCCTCCTCACTCCCTGAACTGTTCATTCCTTTTCACATTTTTATTATTTTTAATTCCCTTCAGGATGTAAGCAAGCCTACTTTTTATTTTCTTTTATTATCTGTGAATTGCTATGAGGTCTTGGGAAAGATAAAGGATTCATTTGCTATTGCATTCCCTAAGGTTTTCCTTCACTGCAACTAGTTTTCATGTAAGGCTAATGAGCCCAGCCTACTCTGCTGTTTAAAAAATAACTGAGTTTGAGTTGGCTCCACAAGACAGTTGTTCATGGGAAAAGTTGCTTGAAGCTAAACATTTATTATTTTGCTCTCTTTATCTGTTGCAGTTTCCATAGAAACAAATATGAGATATTAATTCTTGATCATCTCTTGTGCATAGGTGGTGTAATGGTTAGCAAGCTTGTCTCGCTAGAACAATTACGACTGAGTAGTGAGTTCGATTCTCACTGGATGCCCCCTAATTTCGGCCTTGTGCCACATCTAAGCTATGCTTGGAAAATCACTATATATATATATATATATATATATATATATATATATATAAGCAAATATATAGATCCGACAGTATGAAGAAAAATATATACGGAAAAAACAAACAAAAATCCTTATATGCAATTATGCTGTTTTAATGTTAATATGTCAACGTTGGACGTTTCGGTCTAATAAACCATCTTCAGGACATATTCATAAAATATAATTATCTTTGTCATGTTGAATTGATAATGTTAATTTTATTTTATGGATATGTCCGACGTTGACATATCAACATTAATACAGCATAATTATATATAAGGATTTTTGTTTGTTTTTTCCGTATATATTTATATATATATATATATATATATATATATATATATATATATATATATGTGAAAAGTGTATATAAATAAATATAAGTATGTATAATTATTTATATTTTATATGCGCTGTACTTATTAGAAAGCGCTCAATATCAGAGATAGAGCTAACATATTTGGTTGGATAGATGTGAGTTTGTGACCCAGGGTCACAAACTCACATCTATCCAACAAATAATATATATATATATATATATATATATATATATATATATATATATGGAGTAGACACAATTTGCACTAAAAAAAAAAACAGTGTGTCTGCTTAAACATGGGTATCCACAAAATAATGTTTGCAGTAGAGGAAATTACATCAGATAAAAAAAGTCTATTGATTTCTTTTCTAAGAAATCAATAAATTTGTAGGGGCTGCTGAAAAGTTATTGGCCCAATAAATTTTCTAAAATAGAGTATTGAAATAACTAGACATCAGAATATTTACTTTTGACTGTGTCGATAACAATATTTCCCAGAGAAGACAAATATTGAATTCTAATTATACTGTACTACCCCTTAATCTTATTTTATAAAAAAAATTCTGGGGAGAGAAAAGAAAGAAAAAAAGAAATTACCTCCCTTTGTTTTTGTTTACATAACATATCGGAGTTAGTGTTTATTTATTTTCTTCATCTCTCGTTGAGTAATAAATTAATTTTGTTTAATAGAGACACATGCAATATAATTTTATTTAATAGGAATACATACAATAATAAAATTAATTTACTACTCAACAATACTGACATAGTATCAATCAGTAAGGGAGCAAATTCAGTGATAATTTTTTTCTTTATAATTTTCTCTCAAAGGTGGCCTAACCAATCACAATTTTGTCTCATATCGTATAAAGATGGTCAGAAATTTTACTGTAATTAAACCTGAAGATATCAGTAACAAAAAAAAAAAAACATTATAAAAAGACACTAATGACATATCTCTGCTTATGTTTGGGGGCACCTAGTGAGGATCAAACTTACGATTCAGTAATCATGACTAACCATTACCCATGATGAAGTCGACAAACACTAATGAGACAGTAGTATTGTTATAACAAGGAAATTACCTTTTAATGTGGAATATCATTAAATCTTTGTGTCTTTAAAGGAAATTGTGCTGAAAATTTATTTTTCATGTTAAATCGTGAACTAATTTAGATAAATTGGTTGTTAATTACAATGTAATGATTTGAAAGTTTATCTGAGGAATCTTTTCAATTTTAAAATAAACCAGGAAGAAGTTCTATAGGATTGAACTCACAACCCCTTGGGTCAAGTCACTAGATCCAACCAACGCTTTTATCCACTGAGGCATGTGTCCTTGAGGATAAAGACGTTTGTTGGATCCAGTGATTTGACCCAAGGAGTTGTGAGTTCAATACCTGGCTACTGCTGTGGTCAACAAAAACTTGGAGAGTTGAGTTAAAGGGAGATAACTGATATGGAGACATCTGGAAGAGGCAGTGCACATAGAACTAGAACAATCTACCCTGGTGGATGAAATAAAGGGTTCAGTTTGAAATTTCTATCACCTGAAGAAGTCTGGAGTGTACAACTGCCGAAACGCTGTGAATATGGCAATAAAGATGAGGACAACAGTTTGAACAATGTAAATAATTCTGCATTTATGTTATAGTTTCCTTTCTTGTGCAGTATTATGAAGATTTTGCTCTTTCAGAAATGCATATGTACATTCTGCACTATAAATGACAATTTGATAAAATCCTTTGACAAGCATCTTATTACTTACAGGGTTTTATATTTCTTTTTACACTTCAATGATTTGTGAGGTGACTCATAATTCAAATATTTATTTTGGTTGGTTATTTTTGTTTAACAGCATATCAATCTTTATGGGTTATTTATTGCTGAAATCTAGATGTTTTGTATGCTGTTTTATTTATTTATTTATTTTTTTAGATAATAATGGTTTTAGTGAATCAGGTTTTACTAATTAATCCATAGCTGAGGGAGAAGTGATGGATTCAGACTTTTCTCAAAAAAAGCATGTAAGGGAATTTAACAAAGCTGACTTGAATTGGAACTCGGCTCTCCGATTAACAGTTCCTAGCCATTATCTTTGATGATTATATGGGAATTGGTATTTCAATGAGATGTGGCTGTAAACCTTCAAATGTTTAGGTAGATGACATATAGAAATATGGAAGACTGCAAATATGAAGTAGGCTGCATACTGCAATAACACTGAATAATTTATCAGAACAGTACAGGAAAGTTTAGTTTCTGTTGTAGTCTGTGGTCTGCCATATTGTTTCCAATACAGTGAACACTATCATTCAGTTCCTGGGTATGACAGTAAACCACATCTGGCAGCAAGGTCTCTGACTGGGAGAATAGAGGTTTTGAGGAGTGTGGAATCACCTTTTAATTGCTGTTGTTACCAGGCCTATCCTGTTGGGGTCCCAGATATGAGCAATTAGTGACCCCCCCCCCCCCGACAAAAACAAAACCCTATGAAAGTATAAAAATACATTTTTATAGTAAAAATATCATTTTTATGTAAAAAAAAAAATATACTAAAAATTTAAAAATATTTAGATTTCAGCATTAAATAAAACTCATAGAGGCTGATATGCTGCTAAACATAATCAACCAACCAAACAACACATGAAAGAATTCTTCTTGACATTAATTCATATATTTTCTTAAATCAAACTGTATTCCGAAATATAACTTCAACAAAACTACAACGCAAAACACGCATATCACCACCTCTAGTAATTATGTCCACACAAACATGTATAGGAACAAAAGCTGAGTATCATCTACCATGTATTCAGTTGTGAAAGCAGAATAACATATATTATATTTTTATTACTTCAACACTCCCAAGAAAATTAAATTTTGGCATTAAATGACCTGTAAAGAGTTCATTTGCTGTTAAACAAACAAATTAATCAACTATCAGAATTTATTTATGAAATTAAAATTTAATACTAAGTAAAAATTTATTACACATTTGTGCCTATTAAAAAAAAAATATTTATGAAAAATTTAAAATCTGTAAGAAGGCATTTAGAATATTAAGGCCTATCAGCAGTTTGTACATCCTGTAAAAAGCAATAAATAATTTGGCTTTATTTTTTTTGCATTTATGGTATAGTTCCATTTTTTGTGTAATATTAAAGAGGATATGTTCTTTCAGAAATGCATGTGGATTTTCTTCACCATAAATTACAGTTTGATAAAATCCTTTGAAAAGTATCTAATTATTTATGGGATTTTATATTTCATTTTTCACTGCAATGACTTGGAAGATTTATGGCTCAAATGCTTAGATAGACCATATATAGCAATATGGTGGACCTCAAATACTGATGCAGGCCACCTACTACAATAGCATTGAAACTTCCTATCTGAATGTTTTATGAGTTTTAATCATTCTATTTAAGTCTGTTGATTTTTTATTCTTAATGTTTTGGCTACTATACTTTTTTGCTTTCTCATTCATTGTCTTTTGGAAGAGTAAGCCTTGTTTGGGCAGGAAGCATATGCTTTATGTCCAGGGATATTACCACCGATCTGTAAGGGGGAGGGTGGGTGACATCCACATAATACACAGGGAAGAACTTTGAGAAATAAAATGGTTGAAGAAATCAGCACACAACATATTATGCTCAAATCCTTTGAGAAGCAAACCAAGCATAGATCAAGAGAATGGTCACAAGTCCTGTAACTCATTAGAAGCAGTAGAAATGGTGTGTCTTGGGCATGATAGCCTGATGAAGCCCAATCCATTCCAGGCTGATTTGAATTCAGTTTTCCTCAAGGACACATGGCACAGTGGATAAAGGTGTTAATTAGATCCAGTGACAGGATGCAAAGAGTGTGAATTCAATACCTGGTTAAGGCAGTGGAGAACTTGGAGAGGGGAATTAACAGGAGATAACTGATAACTGACATCCACTGGCACGTGGAACTAGAACAGTCTACCCCAGTGAGCGAAATAAAGGGTTCAGTTCGACATTCCAACCACCTGAAGAAGGCTGGAGCATACAATGGCTGAAATGTTGTGAT